CAAAATAATTTTTGACTTAATTTGTTGTTTCATAGAAATCTACCAAAAAACTGAGATTTTAGTGAAAAAAACAAAGAATTATCGACTAAATTTTGTATTTTTTGTTCTTGTTTTTGACTTAATTTTGCTAAAAATTAAATTAAATCAAAATAAACAATTAAAATTACATTGATTCAATTTTTTTTCAATGCTTAGACAAGATTTTTTGTAATTTTTTGGTATGTTTCAACAAATTTTTCTAAAAAAATTGTTGGTTGAGAATTTTTGTAATGGTGTTGCTGGCCACAATACCGCTTATTTTTGCCTTTCCCAGTTAAATAATTATTATTAAAAACAATTATTTAAGGCCAAAAAGTTACAAGCACTTGCAAAACAGTTTCTGGCCGTGTGATGCATACTATTTTTTTATTCGACCAATTTTAAATTGGCTCAAAATTAAAAAAAAAATTCAAATAATTTGCGCTAGGGAAGTTACTGTATTTAGGTTGGTAACAATATTCAAATTTGCTCTAAATCATTAAATAAAAAAAATATTTATCAATACATCAACTATTTGCCGTGAAATCACAGCGCTTGTCATTTAAGAAGCAATATTGCCAACATTTGGTAATTTTTTGATGCCCTAAGCCACTAATAGAGCTGTTTTCGGACGATTTTAATAAATGCAAAATCAACGTCTAAGTGGTGGATGCGCCGGGTTAGGAATATTATTTTAATTTGTCTATTACTTTACACAACAGATTACATATTAAAAAACGACAAAATTTTAAACGTTTTATCGTGTAAGTGTGGTCAATTATACTACTGTCAACAAATTCCACGTAAAAATGTCAAAAATGACAAGTAGAAATGTCATATTTGTCACTTGATTAAGACCAATTTACAAAGGGGCATTTTTGTATTAGGTTGGTGGCCATGGTACTACTTATTTTTACCCTTTTTTGTTAGGTCTTATTGTTAAAAACGATTATGTGATTAATAATTTAGGTATTTTATGCGGTGGACAAAAAATTATTAGAGATTTTAAAGAATTATGCGCACTCTGGTGTTAGCGTTTAAAACTAGGGAACTAAACACAGCTCCCTTGATTAAAAAAGAAGTTTTCCTACTTGTAATTGAAAAAAATCACAATTTTGTCAGCAAATTATTTTCCTTTTCTATGTCTGTACAAACTCAATCAATAATTAATTATAAACTGTAAACAGTATAGGCAATGGGCTAAATGCAAGTCTGTAATTGAAAAGGTATTTACTGATAAGCATGCAAATATATTCAGGTGTACCAACATGAATCTATAAAGTAAATTGGTGACGCTGACAAATAAACCAGTTTAGTCAATATTGAGGAAAAAAGAAATAAAAAAAATGTTTCTTAAAATTTGTTTATTACTTTGCACAAAAAATATTTGTCACTGGATTAAGATCAGTAATTTTTGATATGCAGTGGAGAAAAAAAATCGGAAATTTAACTGATTATGCGCACTCTGGTGATGACGTTTAAAACTAGGAAATTAAAACAGCTGCCTTGATTAACGAAGTTTTCCAACTTGTAATCGAAAACCATTTTTCAAGCAAATTATTTTCTATTTCTACGAACTAACTCCCAAAATCAATCAGAAACTGCAAACAGTATTTGATCGACAAATTCATAATTGAAAACGTATTTACTAATAAACATATTCAGGTATACCAACATGAATCTGAGGTTGGTAGTGCTGACAAACCAATTTAGTCAATAATATAACCAATAAATACCCAAAAACACGAAAAAATTATGTCGGGTTGAAAAGAAAAAACTTTATTTCGATAACAATTATATTTTACAAATTGACAAAAACTGAACGTTTTGGTACCTAATTTCCAGTAAGTGGCATTAATGAACGTTGTAGACGAAAATTTATTAAATAGAAGGAAATAAATGACAATATGTAATGTTCTAATCTGTTGACTGTACAAACAACATTACAATTAAACTTTGGGGATTAAATTCCCCAAAGTTGCGATACAATTATCAATATTTTGCTTCTCTTGATCTGGAGTGATGGAAGCCTTGACTTTCCTCACAACCCAATCAACAAGATTTTTCTGTGCAATCCTCCGTTCGATATTTTGTTTCTCGACTTGGTAGTCCAACCGCTTCTTGACTTGAGTGTAAGCCTCCAAGAGGCGTTCCCGATAGGCGGCTTCCAATTGGAGGCCCACATTTTCGCGTTTGGCTTGCACAAGCATCGTCTGTCCCTCCATCCTCCACTGGTTCTTCTTCTCATCTTCGATGGCGTCCTGAAGCCCCTGTTTGTCTTGAACCCGACTCTCATTCCACTCAGCCTCATAAGCCTTAAAAAAGCATTATTTTCCACATTAACCACTTAAACACTCACATCAATTTCCTTATCCAAAGCCTTGGCCAGTTTGGGGCCCAATAGTTTAATCCCAGCGATCCACATGACCGCCAAAGACAACCCATTGTAAAACTCGTGTTCCATCACGTAAATCTCCTTACTGATGAGATACGTGGACAAAGTGAACCCGAAAGTGTAGGGCCCCGTGACCCCCGTCTTCTTGTAGAAGAAGGTGAACCACTCGTCGGGAATGAACCCCATTCGCACCTTCCCCGGCTCTTGACGGACCTAAACCAAAGGCTGCGTCAAAGGTCACACCAAAGTCTGTTACTTACAGGTCGTTGCCACAGGGGGCCCTTGCTGGAGTCTTGCCCCGAGGCCGAAGTCGCGCTACTGGCACGGGAGGCGTAAGCGACCAAAGCACGGGAGTTTTGCCCTGTTACATAAGAGGTTAGGTTTCACAAACACGGAATTTCAAGTTTAAGGACGTAAAGGGAGAGGTAAGTGGACTTACCGGAGAGAATCGCAGCTCGRGATAACATTTTTGCCCTTTTTTTATATAAATTAAAGTCCACAAAATGTCCGGCCAAGGGCCCAAATCCACCTGTCCTAGGTAGACAAAGATAAATAGATACGGTTGTAATGGCACAGACAAGGAACGGTGTTGACAGTTATGTAACTACCACCAACCAAACAAAACTTAAATTACTAGCATATTCAAATTATATCTTTAAAAAAATAATAATACGTAAAGGAAGTCGTAATTAAACTTACCGGTAGAATAGCAATGCGGAACAACATTTTTGGAATTTATTTTATAAATTAAAATGTGTCCTCAAGGGACCAAATTCACCTGTCGTAGATAGAAAAAGATAAATAGATACGGTTATCATGTCACAGACAAGGAGAGGGTGTGACAGTTATGTAACCACCCCAACAAAACTAAATTTAAGTTACTAAAATATTTAAATTTATTTAAAAAAAAATATATGTTTTTTTAAAGAAAAGTCAATATCTGTTTTATGTCTACATTACAAAAAAGTGTTGCTATTTTTTGTATTTTTTTTCAATAATTTTTCTTTGTTTGTTGATAATGAATTATTCTGATCGATTATCAGGAATCGATTTTTGGGATAATAAGTGTAAGTGGTGTTTTCCATGTCGGAAAATTTGACGCCAAATTGTAGATTTGTACGGCGATAGAACACAAATTATTGTGTCAATATCGTGCAATTGTGAAAGAAGTTTGAAAAAAAAATTGTAATTGGTTTTCCATGGTAGGATTGTCATGGCAACTAAATATCAACAATGGTAAGCACCCAGTTTCTGCCGAGTCGAGGAACGTGTCGGATGGAGAAATGGTTTAATGGTAGTAAATTTTGGTTGTTCGGAAACCAACTGCAGCTACTGCCCAAAAGGTAAGTCTCTTGCATTTCTCCCATTGTCACAAATTTTAGAAAAGCAAAAAAACATGGGTCAAAACTCACAAAAATCATCAAAAACCATATTTTTGGGCTTTTTGAGATGATTGAAATTTGTTGAAAATCAGCTTTGGCCATTTCCCAGTTTTTCAAATCACACAAATATCCCTGACCTTCGATTGTAATAAATAATGTTGCTTCATTGATTCAGTGTTTGGAAATTAAGGTCGTAAATAATAAATCCTTCGCTGAAAACGCCTATAGTCGAAACCAATTGTCTTGTTATTAATTAAATCGAAATAAAATGAAACGTTTTTCATTTCTTCTTCTTCGTTTTTAAAATTAAAAATATCAAAGAAAGATTCTTTTATACAATTATCCATGAAAATAATTCTGTTAACAAGAAAACTGTATTTTGATAACGAAAAATCAGAAATATTTTTTAATAACTGTTTCCACTCTTGCTCCTTGTAGAAGAAATCAATAACAGCTGATTTGAACAAACAAGAGTATTCTATACAAAGAAACATTGATTTTATTACTACAGCAAATGAATAAATAAAAAATATTTTGTTAACTAACTTTTGGGTTTCTTGAAATTTTTTTACCGTGCGATCAAAAAAAAAAAATTAGAGTAGGCGACGATTAATATTCTACAGTTGGCAACACGTTGGCTGGGAATCTGGCCTGGAAATTTTTCCACACAAACTGAAAGTGAAAATGACCATTCACTGTTTTCGTCTTATAAAAATTTTCATTATTTCACTCAAAAGGAATAAAACGCAAACTTGTCAAAGTTTCCGCTGACATTTGATGTCAAAAATCAGGATTGTCATCTGAAGGACTTTAATCACCGCCTAGTCTAATTTATAATTTTTTTGATCGCACGGTATTACGGTATTAGTATTAGTAACAAAAAATTTCTATTTTACGTCTTTAACAGCCTAGTGTATTTTATGTATGATACTTTTTAGAAACTTTTTAAACAATAAATAACAGAATTAGCTGATGCTCAAATCTGATTAACTTCAACACGAAATAATAAAAGGAAAGCTTGCAAAGGCAGAAATTATGCAAACTTGTAATAAATAGACACGCAATTTCTTATTATTGAAACCTCCGCAGACTGGTATCATTTTTAGCCTACATAAAAAAAACCCATGTACTCCTCGGGAGCTAATTTAAATACAGCCTTGCCAAAATTGTAGGTATTTTGTTAAAAAATTAAACACGTTCTTTGTTTTTAAGATTAAAAATATCAAAGAAAGGTACCTCCATGCAATTAGTTCCATGGAAATAACTTTGATTATAAGAAAACTGTAATTTGATAACATAAAATCACTTGCTCCTTGTAATGCTGGTAATAAATTCGTTTGGGTGCGTAAACAGCCTAGTGTGTTTTATGTTTTCAATGTTGGTGACAAATGCCGTTGAAAATAAATTGTTTTCAATTATTTCAAATTTCCCAAATTTTAATAACCTCATTTATACTCTTGTCATGTTTATGTCATTTTGACTTAAAAAATAGCGTCACCGACAGAAAAGTTTAATTGTCAAATGTTAGTCGTGATGGCAGTAAAAGGTACTTTACAGTTTTTTGAAGTGACAGAAAAATACTGCCCGAAATTTTAATTCCGTAACTGTACACTTGGTTGCAAAAAAAATTGGAAAATGTCAAAGCATAAAAATGTCAGATTTTTAATTTTATCCATAGTTTATGGCGTAAAATTCCCAAGATTTAGAAATTTTCGTTTCTCGTACTAAATTATATAATCAACAATACAGCTGTATACCACAATAGAACTAAAAAAAGGGTCGTTTTGGCACTAAATTTGTCACTGGAATCCGGTGTAACACAAAATTTTTTGTCTTTAAGATATAGAAAGTTTAAATTTGTGACATATTTGACTCTAAAAAATGTAAATGTAACGTTGTTTTTTTAATAAAGGATTGAAATTAAATTTAAAACAAAACTTTCAAAAAAAAACGTCATTAAACAAATAAAACGATCACATTAAAACACAAAACCCTGTAAAATAGTGCTTCGTACAAATAAGCAATCAAGAGTTCATATAAAAAGATATTTTGTCACACGATGTGCAATGTCGTCACTGAATCATTTTATTCTGTTAAAAAAATATTTAGAAAACCATAATTACTGTTAAATATATTACAATTGCAATTGTTAATAAAAAACTAGAAAATTATGTGAATATTTAAAAAAAAATGTTTGGAGTAGGCAACTTTTAATACAACAGAGAAAACATTGCCTACTTTTACTACCAGTGAAAATCTGCAGTGCCTTGCCATGGAATCTTATCCCTTCCACGCCAATTCTCCTTCCATATATTCTAATTCTTTGCATAAAAAGTGCAAAATAGAAGAAATAATACAGTGCGATCAAAAAATCTATCAACTTGAGGACGTATGTCGCATGGTAATTCGTAGGTTATCTAGAAGTCAAAAAATATTTTATAAAAATTAAGTTACTGATATAATCAAACTGAATTATTCTATAAAACGTCTCAAAACATCCTGAAATGAGATGTTGTTGGTGTTTATTCATACAAATCGTTCACCACGGTTTCCTGTTTCATTTATCATAGGGACATTTTATCTTCCACAGTTTCCACGCTTGCTCGATAGAAAGACTTTTTGGTCGCACTGTATAAAAGAATCGTTTGTTTTGAATATTCAAAGGCCCGAAAAAAACCCGTGTACTCCTCGCGAGCTAATTTAAATACAGCCTTGGCAAATTCCACGCAAAATCGGTTGCATGCCAACCCCTGACAAATCCCAAATGACAACCAGTGTTAAAATTATTCGCGCCAGTCTTGTTTTCGTCCAATTTCAAATTTGAAATGCCGTAAATGAGCCCCCATGAGTGAGGGACGCGGGTGGAGACCTAGTCGGTGGTAAAATTCTCGTCAATATGCAAACTTGTGATGGCTCTCACCACTTTGCCTACAAATTTAGTCGATTGTACTCGTCGCGAAAAAATCGAAGGGGTTTGGATGCACACACACGCGCCCTATTGGTAATTTAACACTTAAAACTTCAGTTATTTTCTATTTTATTTACTTTGATTTGGTTCCAGGACACGCACCTCGTCGAAAGTCATGGAACGCTACGAGAAAATAGCTAAATTGGGCGAAGGAAGTTACGGAATTGTCTACAAGTGTCGCAATCGAGACACTGGGGAAATAGTGGCGATAAAAAAATTTGCGGAAAGTGAGGACGACCCCCTGATCCGCAAAATAGCCCTTCGAGAAATAAGACTTCTAAAAGTTGCGTTTTTGTAACTGAAAAACACCCAATACACAAGGCGACAAAAAAAGTCATGTCGTGACAACTTGACAAATTTTATCATTTTGTTCGTCTCAGTGAGACAAATCAAATGCACTAAAAAAATTTAAAAAGTCCACACACTTTGTAGTCCGGTCAAAATAAACATTTTAAATAACTAAAATTCCAACAGAGCTAAATTTTGGTGGAGATATTGAGTACACCATTAGGAATAAAGTGTCAAAAGTCCCCATCGATCCCATGTGTGCTAAAAAAGTTATTCGGGGTCAAAGGTCGAAATTTGACGTTTTTTAGATTTTTTTCGAAAACGGTAAGTTTTA